ATCCCGTATTTCACACCCCCCTCTAATTTTTCCATTCTTTGAAAATTCCCATGGTTCTTTGTTGGTTTCTTTTACCAACATTAGGCATGTACTTCGTCTTTGTGCTGAACTAAGCCCTACGAGGCCAGGTCCTTCTCACCGGGACTTCCCTCGGCCTCTCTCTCCTGGTCTATCCTCGATATTATGGAGATAAAATTAAAAAATCAAACGGGTTTTAACAATTTGTAGGGTGTTAAAATTTTTCCGCCGCAGAATCAGATTTTCAATGCCTTCAATCTCACGCCACTTCATCGAATTCGTGTTGTACTGATTGGTCAGGATCCCTATCATGATGATAATCAGGTCAGCTTATCTTTTTCATTCAAACTGATCGCCCCTTAACATTCAAGCACTGCTGGCATGCGACTGGACAAATTTGCGTTTCTGGCATGCTCCCTCATTTTGATCATCGCCCCTCATCCTCTTTTTCATTCTTCTAATTCCTCTTTATATAGAACTGAGTTTATTTATGTGAACATCGAGCGAAGGTAGACGTCTATTCAGCCGATCGTCAGAAGGGTAAATTACGTACGTCGAACAGTTGCTATGCAGCCCAGAGTCCCAGCAACATCATTAATATAAGGATATTCGCATTGATTGCTCAAACGGTCTTGGTGTTATTATTGTTATTGTTTTTGAATTAAGAAATCTGAATTTCTTTGCCATGCCCCAGTTAGCCTTATATTTGCTTTGTTTTGCCTAGTATATTTAAAGCTTCTAAAAGTTGCGCTAAATTTCCAGGCGCATGGATTATGCTTTTCGGTTTGCAAGGGTGTGAAGCCTCCACCTTCACTTATGAACATCTACAAAGTAAGTTGTGTCGAGAATCTGTTGTGCTAAGAGGTCACTCATCTGTGCAAATTAGTATCCCAAAATGAAGAAAACAGCCACTGGACAACCGTCTAAGTGAGGAGACCGAAGGATCCAATGTAGTCGTACGCAACGTCCAAGTGCATCTCAGTAACACCAAAGTACCAAGCGAATACAACTTTAGGCGATCCTTAGCGAACATAGTTTGTGCTGCGCTGTTAGTGTTTTCTTTTTCAGGAGTTGAAAACTGACATTCCAAATTTCAAGGCACCGAATCATGGTTGTCTTGAGTCCTGGGCTCGTCAAGGTGTCTTCATGTTAAATGCTACGCTGACCGTCGAGTATGCGTTTTATCACATTTAATGTAGATTGTCCTTGAAAGAAGGACTTTGCATTTCCAAAGCTTTTGCAATCTTTATCATGATTCCCGGTTGAGGATGATATTTGTTGCATTTCTGGAAATTTCTTCAATTTTGTGAACATTAGAAATGAGTTTTCTAGCAAATTAATTCTCTTGCTAATTTAATTGGCTGCAAATAAGGACAAGCGAGACAGAACAGTAGCGAAATAAATAGTTTGGAGCAGTTTGACTCAGAAAAGGGCTGAATTACGTTTCGAGCAGAATTTAAAAAATAATTATGTTTGATGGGATCCGCGTTTTTGTCTTGGCTTCAAAAACGTCAGGTTTGGCCACAGTGTTGAGAAGCTGCTTTTCTTCAATTAATTCTGGTATCTACTACTGCAGTATGTTTCGTATACTTTTACCGGGTTTTTTCTGGCAATTAATGTGAATATACTTGAAATAGATGGAGCAGCCGTTAATTCGTAGTACTGTTCTCTATCTGTGCGGCTGGCGACTTTCCTAGTTGCCTTGGCCAGTGCTGCATCGTTTGTTGGTCCGTTTGCTATTGGTCCTGTTGTTTGTTTTGTTTTTCGAAGAGCTTACCAATTCAGCAGTTTTCTCAGTCGAAAAATTTGCGAAGACAGTTATCAAAATAATCGGAAGAATTGAAAATAGAATTTAATTTCAGAAAGTTTTTTTTCTAAGAGTTCTCCCCATAAAAAAATTTTTATTGAAATTATGAAAAAGAATACACCTAGAGCGCATCGGGCGAATTCGCATAGTCACATTGGTTGGCAAAAATTCACGGATGAGGTGATTCGCATCATATCACGCGATTGTAAAGGCGTTGTGTTTCTGCTTTGGGGTGGATTCGCTCATAAGAAGGAATATCTCGTGGACCGAAAGAAACACATTGTCATAAAAGTATGTCACTATCCTTTTTGCATTGTCACAATGGCAAGTCATTGGATTATGTAGAGGTATTAGGGAGCGTTGTTGTGCTGTGCAACCATGCAGCGTTGTAAGCCAGAAATCTATGAAAGAAGCGCGCTTGTAACTAATCTTTAACAAAAAACAACTGAAAGACACTAAATTTGGGTAAAAAATACTATAAATCGGATGATTTGGATCGTTTGCTTTCGCCACTGAAAAAAAGCCAGCCGTTTTACAGTTCTTTCAGTCTTTTCAACGCTAAATTGGTTTTTTAGCTTCTGCCTTTTCACATATCCCTCAGTACAGGTTAATGGATTTTTTTTTTGTGATACGATAAGCTGATAGCTTGTTAATTCAAACGAATGCAAAGTGCTTTTTTTGCTAAAAAATACGAGAGCAGTTTGGGCTCTCCGTGTGGAGATCCGGTGTCAGTGCTTCTACAACCTAACACCACCACGTCGAGCTCAGCTATGTCAAGCCTTACACTACACAGCTACACGTTGCTAGTAAGTTTCTGTCGTCTTTCTAATATGTCCGAGCCTTTTCAAAAGCTCTCCAGGAGTACCGCTCACCAGTAGGCCATATTCACTGAGGCACTCAAAATATTCTGCCTGTCGGATTTTGCCTTCTCACTTGGTGGCGATGAAATCCTGCATGCTTTTGTCTCTCGAAAAATCTTATTGCTTATGCAGTCACGACGAGACAATTTTAATTGCTTTCTCTTTTACACGCAGCATTTATTGTTCTGTTTTCACCATGGCCACGTTTCGCATTCAGCTGAATGCAGAAATTTTATTCGGATAAATCATTTTATTTTCTTTTTCCAGACAGCGCATCCATCACCGTTAAGCTCACGTTTGTTCTTCGGTTGCAAATGTTTTTCTCGAACCAACGTAGCACTCATAAAGCTTGGCCAGCCTGCTATCGATTGG